GTGGCCAATGTCCGGAAAAAAAGGAACATTTGGTTGTGTTATATATCTCATTTTTCGTAATTTTCAATTTTATGTAAGTCAACCTTGATGGCAAATTTGCATCACCGGGGCTGCAGACAATTTGCCCGATTGACGGCATGTTCACATTATCCACCCCTCGACTCAAATTTTTCCATGACGTGACTGCAATGTAATCCAGGTCTAATGGGTTCATTGCTATTCCTGAAAGTATAAAAGAGTTAATGCAATAGGAGTATCCCTGTTCTCTTTATTGTTGTGACTACAGGAAATAATGCAATATTTAACATTTTCACTAATTCAAGTTCCCCTTTTAACTGGGCAACTCTGAAGATGCCAATGGCAATGGAGTCCAAAGGCTAATGAAAAAAACTCCTCAAATAAGATGAACTTGTTCTCGTTCAAAACCAAGATATTGCGAACCACACCAATGCTTCTACCTACTTTCACACAATTATCACACGCTCTTGTGGTGATAAAAACTATCTCAAGATGCAATTCTTTGTACTGTCTGTAGACTGACTCCTTGGAAGTGGGCCATCAAAGTGTCCTCTCTTCATTATATCAGACACCTCAAGAACAAATTAATCTGGTATTCTCTCTGACAATCTTATAATCTGCTGTAAAGGAAAATTTTGGCTGGCGCCTAAGTTTTCAAAAGTAAANGAGAGAGAAGAAGAGAGAATGAGAAAGGGAGACAAGGGAGGGCCAATAAAAGACCCAGGACAGGAGATACGTAAAATAAGCTACATAGATTGGTAAACAAAAATGTCGAATGATTGATTTGCAGAAAGACAGTTAGATATGCGGGTAGATATAGATATTATGAATGTGAAGTTGATAGAGATATATGGATAGATAAGTAGATGGAGAGTCAGACAGGCATACAGTTTTATTAAAAGAGAGACATTTAAATGGATAGATGAATAGATGGATAGATAGACAGACGTATAAACAGACAGATGAATAAATAGGTATATCAACAGGACGCCCACCTAGCCACCCTGCAAACCGCCCCCCTTAACACCGCGAAAAACACTGCGTACCTCCCTGTCACTAGGCCGCCTCCTCACACCCTCGCATTCCTCATCCTCCATCCACAAGGCATTTTCCATTATTTTTACTCCTGGGACGAGAAGGAAGCGCTCTCGGAGACATCCTTCAGCGCGGGTAGGATAACCTCCCCGACAAACGCGAATCCTCGCCCCAAATTGCAAAGGATTGCAACGAGGAACTCAAGCCCGACGCCAATTTTCCTAACCAGATCCCCGGCAAGTTAGGAGGAGCTCTTGGAGTCACTGCTTCTCGGCGACAACTCCTATAACACTTGCAGATTGCATTTGCTGGATTTGCAACGAGCAGCTTACCTGCCTTGCAACACAAGCATCTGAAGATGTTCGGGAACGAGTTGTGGGAAGGGGGTTGCGGTAGGGGGAGGGGGAGGGTAGAGGGGGAGGCAGGGAAAAGTGGAGGGGAGGGCGAACAGGCTTGGTAAGGGAGGGCTAGGGTGGGGGTGGGGAGGAGGCATGTAAGGGCGAAAGAGGGTGGAAGACGGGGACGGGGGAGGACGGGGGAGGGAGGAGCACGGGGAAAGGTGGGAACAGGCGAAAAAGTCTCTCAAAGATTTGTAGAATCTTATTTGCAGTCATTTCTCATTCTGATTTATGCAAAATCGGCGAAATGTTTGCTTTAGTTGATCTACAGACTCTAATCTTCTCTCTTCTCTCTCTTCCTTCTTCTCTCTCTCTCTCTCTCTCCCTCTATCTCCTCTTCCCCTTCTTCTCCTCTTCTCTCCTCGCTCCTTCTCTCCCTTGTCCTCCCATCTCTCCCTCCTTGCTCTCTCCTCCTCTGCCTTCCCTTCCTCCTTCTTCCTTCTTCTTTCTTTTATAGCACCTCCTTCATTCTATCCTTCCTCCTCACTCTCATCTCTACGCCTTTCTCCCCTCGTCTCTCCTCCTCTGTCCTCCTCCCTCTCTCGTGTCTCTTTCTCCCTTTCTCGCTCCTTCCCTTTCTCCTTCCCCTCCTCTCCTCCTCCCTCTCTCTCGGTCCTTTCTTCCACTCCCTACCTCGGTCTCCTCCTCTCCGCCGTATCCTCCCTCTTCGTCCTTTCAATGCCACGACCTACATTAGTTTCCGTCTATATCATTAAATCAAGTGACACCATTCCACCAGGCTGTCGATATTATTTACAAGCAACAAACTTCTGCCTCGTACCACAAACAATACTACTGGCAGATAAATTATAAAAGAACATCCGTGGCAGACCTACGTTCAGGTAAACACTGGGAGGACAACACATATAGGAGGAACCTTAAGTTCTGTGTGTTTTCGGCTTTGTATTTCTCTTTAAAAAAGATTAACTTGAGTAGGGTATTTTCTGGAAAAGTTTTTTAAAGACCAAATGATTGACTATACCCCGTAAAATCACAATTGATTAGCCAATTCAGGCTCGCTCTCCAGCCCCCATCGTTATTATGCGCTT